AACACACACACACAGAAACACACAGAGTGACAAATACACACAAACACACACACACAGAAACACACAGAGTGACAAATACACACACACCATCTAAAATCCCAACCACAGCCTTAGGGAAGTAAAACTGTTATTACGGTACAAATCAAGGCATCTGACTTTTTTTGTCCTGGTTTAAATTTTTATCTTAAACTACCACTTGATACAGGTACATTAAAATGAGACCATAAAGCAGGTGATAAAAGCACAGCCATCGTATCATGTAAGATATAGAAAAGTGTGTTTATATGACAACAGCACGCACCTATGGATGCAGGAAGACTCTCTGAAGAGGCTGGGGCTCCAGCTCAGGTAGATGACATCATAATACTGGCAGAGATCCTCCCACGTGATCCAGAACACTCCTGCAGCACACAGCAGAGCACCGGCACCGTTACCCGCACGTGGTGATGGTACCTCAGCAGTGAAGAGAAGTTACCTACGGCCTACCATTGTCAAACTTCTGGGCGGTTTTGGGGTCAAAGTTGAGGTACTTGAGCAGCTCGGGGGTCCAGTTCTTCTCGTCCCGCTCGCTGAAGCGGCCTTTCCACCTCAGGTGGCTCCACGGGTTCTTCAGCTGGAGGAACCGCATGCCCTGGGTATCCAGACGGGGTGGAAGAGTGAAGCTCATGAACGGCAAAGATCTACTGATGATTGGCTGGCTCTTGCAAAGGCCAGACAGGGATGAATCGCAGGTGAAGAGACTTCATAACCACACTGAAGGGCTGCTATAGAACATGGCATAAGAAACCAAGGTGGACTGGAAAAGTGGGGGGGAGGTTACAAAAAGAAACAACGTGATGGAGGTGTGGTAAGAGAGCCAGATGGAGATGTGGTAAGAGAGTCAGATGGAGATGTGGTAAGAGAGTCAGATAGAGATGTGGTAAAAGCTACATGCAGTGAAAGGGAGGCGGGAAGGTGTTTTCCCGATGTTGCATCATCACTAGACATTCAGTCTAGCTATTAGTCAAGAAACCCTCAATCTAGACAAATGTGTCAGTATTACTGGCGTTCTTAGATAGTTGGCAGATGCTTTTCAAATGTGGTTCATCAGTGACTGTCTCAAGGGTACAACAGCAGGGCCCCTTGGGCTGTGCCGCCCGTCTGGACTCCTGTCGCACCCCTTACCTTGTAATCCCGGATGTCCAGCACAGCGTAGGCGTGGGTGGGTACCAAGCCCCACCTCTCGCCCTCCTCTTCAGACATCATGCCCGTCGCCGTGGTGATGAGGACGTGGCCCTTGTGGAATCTTTGGGGCGGAAAACCACGCCAAGTAATTTAAGGTTGGTTTTATGTAGAAGCCTACATGCAGACATATTTTTGCCAGTTTTAATTAAAGTTATATAAAATCAATACAATTTATAGATCATCCTGCTGACCAAGTGCATTTCCGCAGTCTCATACATTATAGATGTTATTATATATATTAAATCACTGAAGTGAGACTCCTGAATAAGCACTGATCACAGTATATAGTTTATAACAGGTCACCACACACAGCTGAGCAGGATATTAAGATTTCACATGGACCAGACCTTACTGCCCCCCGCCCAGCAACCACAATAAACCCCAGTTGAAAATGACTGCATGGAAGCTTAAACCAGCAGATCCACAGATATCTTTATCTGCGAAGCTAAGAAAGCAGCAAGCGGAAGCCTTGGGAGAGGTTTTACGGATGTCAGATAAGGGTCAAGGCATCAGCTGGGCACAGAGTCCTGCATGGGTCCACTTTTGGAGACCCGCACCCGCACAGTACAGCACCACACCCGCCCGTGCACCCGTGATTATTTCAAAGATAAATCCACACCCGCCCGGGCCCGTTAACATTCCGCCCGTTACCCACCTGTACCTGTGATAAATTACACACAATTATTTTTTCTATGCACCTCTCAACGTGACAAGCGCTAGGCCTACATGAATTTTGAATTGAAACGAAAAAGTTCATTTAACACAAAATCACATCAGATAGATCTAAGCTATCCATACTGTGACGAGCGTGAAAGGGAGAACACGACGACACGCTTCAGCAAGGATTCAGACGTGTATGTGAATGTCTGTCGAGGCGGTTATCTAATGGTACGTTCGTTTTTCTCTCGGAACTCGGAAATTCCGAATTGAGTGACATCGCGTCTCACAATCTCCCGTTCGAGTTACCGCATCTCGGAACAAACATGGCTGCCTCCATGAACATGCTGCTGTGTGTTGTTGCTTAATATTTTAGCAGATTTGGAGTGAGATTATTTTTTCCGAGAGACAAACAAACAAGGAACACGAACTAGTCAAACCACATTAAAAGCTTTATAAAATATTTTAGCACATTCATAGCAATATTCTTTTTTCAAGAGCCAAACAAACTACAAACAAACCAAAGACACTAACAAGTTTGGTAAAAATCTGATATTGCATGATAGGATACTGTTTACGGTCATGATATGGTATTCTCTAAATCGAACACGTGCAGTTACATTTATAACTAATAAAACAAACAAAAAAAACATTTTTAAAGATTTATAAAATAGAATTACTGTTGAGTGTGTAAGCCGCCATGTTGAAATTACGTCACAGGGGCAACTCGGACAACAAAATCTTGTCCTACATCAACGTCATAAAAGAGGCGTGTTTCCGACGGGAAATGGCGTTTTTAGTGACGTTTTGTGACGTTTTCATCCGAGTGCCGACTTGGAGAGAAATAATCGAAAGCACCATAAGGTTCCCCCGACATACTGAACACACTGTGATGATGACAATTTGTACATGATAGTCTAATACATAGATATTTTCGCTTATATGTTATTTTTGCAGGCTACAATACTGTTTTGATTGACCTGCTACCCGCCCGTGTGTAATGAATTACCCACCCGTAATATTCCAGAACATTAAAATCCGCCACTTGTCAGTGATGTTCAGCAACTATCTGCGAGTATCCGACCCGGTGCAGGACTCTGGCTGGGCACTCCGGGCCGAGTTACATACGGGCGGCCAGTAAAGGCCGTGAGAACAGAGGGCGGCATTTGGCTCTGTGAGATGGGACGTTATATCGGTCATCAGAAGGTCGCTGGTTCGAATCCTAGGGTTGGCTTAGTGATGTCATTGTTGGACCCTTGAGTAAGGTCCTTAACCCCTAATTGCACCAGGGACTGTCTGACCCCGGTTTCTCAGTTCTGTGTCACGTCGGTTAAATAAAATGTAATGAAAAGTGACTCCGATGGGGTGGAAGAGCGATGCTTTATTAATCCTGTGGGGAAATTCTCTCATTGCCGACCCCATTGTGCTCTCCCAGAGACACACATACAGGTGAGAGCAAGTTTGGGTCCCAACCCCCTCCCACCCGGTTACCTCTGGTAAAGCATTCGGAAGGTATCGTCCTTATTGAAGGCCTGATTGTCGGAGTGCATGGCGATACGCTCTGGGATCCAGCCAGTGAGAGCGTGCAGGTCGATGTTCTGTGGAGACGGGGAACAGGGACAGCTTCCTGCTCAGACTGGTTTTAAAGCGGCTTCCTGCTCCGCCCAGTTAGTCGGACAGTCACGCCACACACAGACAGGGCCATAAGGCTGCCACCATCTATGTCCCGCTTTCAACAACAGCACAGATGCATTGCAGGAAAGATAAAGCCTCCTATCATACTGCCAGAAATCTGATCCAAACCAGTGGCAAGTGCTTAATAGTACAGAAGGGATGAGTCACACCCCATAAATAAACCACCCAAAAGTGATGCTAAATTAATGTCCCTATCAAACAATGCCTCAGAACCGAAAAGAGTGTAATATAGACATTACAACAAGGCAATGGCAATTCTGTTCTGAATTGTGACAGATGTTTAGAGAAAGCACAATGAACACAATGCATTGGTACGTATTTCCTAGCCAGCATAGCTCTGGTTTTTCCTGATCTGTGTGTAATACGGACCGTTTTAACACATGCTTTCCTGGAGCATAATAGTCTCTCCTTCCTATTCTCTTATTCTTGTTTTCCAATTAATCTTCTGATAATGAAAGTATCAGCAGGAATTGTGCAAAGCTGCCAGACAGCATTCTTCACGACAATAAGCAAAACAAAAACATGAATTAAACATTGATGCAGGAGTACCTCCAGGGTCACTAATTCACTGGGCAGGGTGACCATCTGCTGAACATCTAACATGAAATGTAGCTCAGCAAAGCCCCAAGGAACCAGGAGAGGAAGCGAAAGCAGGTGCCAGTTGAGGGACTTACCGAGTTGGAGCCTGGGAAGTCGTAGCCCCCCATGACCTTCATGTAGGCCTTCTCGATGAGCGACACCCACAGTTCGTTGCGGTTGCTGGAGTATGAGCACAGCAGCTCACCGCTACGGTCCACGGGCAGGAGATCATCAATGATCACCTGAAGGCAAAGGCCGTTTCACCTTACTCACTCACACAGCCAGATCTGAAACGGCTCTCATACTTCATTTCCATGGTTATAGCAGACAGAGCATCTTGTAGGGCTTCTTTAACCAAGTCATGGAGGAGAAACTGTCCATAGAACTACTACTCTTGAGTCATCAATGATGTACTTTGACTGGTTAAGGAGAACACAGTATCTTGTAGATCTTTTATAAACAGACTATCTATAAATCTAGAATATCTAGAGCATGGATGCCTGGAATCAAAGGTCCAGAAGTACCTTCCTGGGAACACCGTTGATATGCAGTTTGACCATGTATTTCCCACAAGGGTTGTATTCTGGCTCCCCCTTCCTGTTCTGAGGGTAGATGACACTGCAGATAAATAAGATAGCAGCTTAAGACGCAGCCTAAGCGACACCCTGACCTGCTTTGTGAGCCTTTTCAGACTCTGCAACTCTGAAGCAGACCATAACTGTTCAAAAAAAAAAAAAAAAAAAAAGCGACACCCTGACCTGCTTTGTGAGCCTTTTCAGACTCTGCAACTCTGAAGCAGACCATAACTGTTCAAAAAAAAAAAAAAAAAACTTATGCAAGCCAAGGAAACTCAGAAATTCCGGGATGAAGCTCTCAATACTTCTGGTCACTCATTAGGAAACAGAAATATCATGGTCATGACCAGTGTAAGGGCACTTATGATTTCCCGGGATCAGTGCCTCTGCGAGTCAGAAAGCAATCAAGTACCAGAAATCTTAACTGGAGAAGGTAAACGTGTGGAAAAAGGTGTGAAGACACAAAACAAGCGGCACACACCTTGTGATCAGTTTCTTGCTGTAGCGTCTCTCATATGCTGCACTGATGGCCAACGATGCGACAAAAGAGCAGTCCGAAACAACGGTCTGCATAGCAAACAAGAAAAACCAGCACAATTACAATCAAACACCATTTCAGCATGCAGCTACAGATTTCCCTATAAAATAAAAATACTCCCCTACTAACCTTTACTGTTTTGGGTATTTAAACATAGGTGTAAATGTCAGAAAGTACCTTAGAGACACCACATAGTGGCTGATGTGTCAATTGATTTCTCAGAGATGCAACACAGGTGGCATCCTGACCTGCTTTATGCTGAAGCTGGAGACGGTGAAGATCATGGTGGGGTTGTTGGAGATCTCATCAGGTCGCACCCAGTGAGAGAAGATTGCCTTCTGCTTCGGGGAAAGGGCCAGCTTGCCACGTTTGTCTCTGAGGAAGGTGGGAGAGGGAGGTAAGCGATCTTTTACCGTGAGCGTCTGGATGACTCTGCTGCAGTGTGTTGTGGAGAAATGGGGAAGGGGCTTCGCAAAACGAAAGAATCCAAAGCTCTAGCCAAAAGCAGCTCACGCTCCAGAAAACAGGCAGCCGGATAAAGGAGTGCAAGAGCAACAGGGGACACGTTCAGCTCAAATCTAATCCAAACCCAAGTCAATCCCACTAGAGAGAAACAGTGAAGGAGGACTCACGAGAATGGCATGGGGAATGCAAATCTCTCCTTAAGATCCACACTCATGAAGGGGACATATTCAATACCATTGATCTTAGACGTGGTCCTGCAAGTGGAAGAGCATTACCCATTTGTGTGAACACAAGACACTTAGTGCACTTCAGTAAATATAGTATGAAATTATATATTCTTGGCTGGATAATTCCTGATTTCTGACTTTGCCAAGGAAAAGTCACATCAATGATTTCAGGTTACTCAAAGTTATTCAGGTAGATAAATGCATGGATTTGATTGGCCCACATATGCCCCTCCCTTTAACCAGATCTCCACCCCTCTTTCTCAGGCCCAAAGCCCACCTGAGCACCTCAATCTCCTCCGCCGTGTAGCGCTGGCCCTGGGGCTCGCCAGACTGGACCGGCCTGGAGGGCTGAGGCCGGTCATGGAGGGAAAAGTCCGGTCCCAGGGGCAGGTACTGCCTCGTCTGGCCACTGGCCTTGGCTGCTCCCCCGCCGGTGGCGGACTTATCTTTGGTGGAAGAGGCGGCTTTGGCTTTTGACATGGACTCCTTCAGACCCTCAGCCCTGCGTAAGACCCCAGAGGTCAGAGGTTAAGAGACAAGCACCTTGGCATACATTTATCTGACAAAATATTGGAAATACAGTGAATTTACTAATGCTTCATTCTTCAAAGAGGGTGGGGCATTTATTATGGAACACGCAGAGACTTAAAATCTAACTGAAGCCCGGTGAACCGAGATCAAGTAAGAAAACTGAAGCACTTTGCTTCTCTGGAGAATATTAACCGTTCTGTTTGAAGTTAGAACTTCTTGCCTGGATTCTAACTGCAGCCTGCGGATGACCTGCATCACCTTCAAAGTGAATCACTGAAAACTCTTCTCACTATTTGCCATCTGCAGACTGCTCTTACTCAGCAATAAATGAGAACCCAGCCAAGGCCCACCTACCTATCCAGCGCCTGGTGAGCCAGCTGCTTCAGCTTCCCCTGGAGCTCCTGCTCGGACGTCTCATTGGACTAGGGGGTAAAAAGGGGCGGGGCATGAAATGACGGGCGAGGTAGGCTGTAGTCACATATGTAGTGTGAGGGAAAAACGCTATTACGTGTCCAGGTGGTCTCTAAGAGAATGTACAGACATCTCCACAGCCTGACTGTGCAAATACAGCTTTTACTTCCTACATGGGGGAAAAATATCCCCCCACCAAGATAACAGAAACTCTTTATCTCCAGTTACTCCAAGGCCCAGCAGACCCTGATCTCTGAATTGTACATCGGATTGGATGAAAGTGACTAATAAATAATGTTTTTAAATAATAAATAAAAAAGATATTGTAAGAATGCCCCCACAATACATTTGTGTGCAAACAATTTGACCTGAAACATCTACTGATTATGAACTTGGAATGGAGTTAGGAATCCACAATATTACAATAAGGGTCAACAGGAAGTCATCATCAAAATGCAATTGTGCGTTTGTGAAGATACTCACTGCCTGTATGCAGAGCTCCACGGCCTGAGTGTACAGCTCGATGGCCTCATCACTGTTGCCCTTCTCATCCTCGTCAAAGGCCTGTGTAACCAGGAAGTAGGCCCTCTCCAGGTCCAGCTGGTGCTTGGACTTAAGTGGGTCACTGCTCTGGGCCTGAACTGAGGAACAAGAACCCAAAGAACAGGGACCTTGAGCCTTCTGGATTGCGAACTGCAACAAGAACAGGGATCCTGACCTCACTCGCAGCCCTGTGAGATGGTGGGGCCATATCAGGACAGGGGAGCCAGGTAGCTGGTCTGATTCTGTCTGTCTGCTTTGTTTCATCTAGTTAATCTGCCTCAACCTCTCTCCTGCTGCCTGCTATCATGCTAACAGGTTGCACCAGATGCCCAAGGCCAAAATTCTTTCTTTATTAATAAAAGCAATGAAAACGGAATTCCAGGCCCAAATAAATTACCTGTTCAGTGTTCCATCTGCCATTCCCTTTCCTATTTGATACTTAACAGTCACACAATCAGAAAATTAAACATTCAGCTGAATTACATGTAGTTTGAAGCAAAACACAATATAATGTCTCTAAGGACAATCATTTTAAAATATTGGATATTTATATCTACCTGTAGTTGCCAGATTCAATGAGAGGTCAAAGATGGGGGGAGGAGGTAGAGAACTTCAAACCAACACAAATATAACTGCGAAACACAACAAGGACTCCATTTTTTAAATGCTAGAATGACGTTTATTATTATTACGTGTGTTTTTTAGGTCTCAGCCTGGTTGCGTGTCCCTGCGTATGATGGCAGGTCCCTTTGATCCCCAACACAGACACTTCTTCTCCCACCACTGCATTTTCCTCCTTTCATTTTCTTGATTTTCTTCTGCACTGTATTTTAAATCACTGCACCATTCTGAAAAACCTCCACTTTCCAATATACTCAAAAGAGCTCAGAGAACTTCGCTGTTACCATGGATACCGAGAAAACATTCCGAAAACGTATCTATAGTTACAAATGCATTTCTCTAATGTACCGCAAGCCCTGAACAGTTAAATCATATATAGCTTGTACAGCTTCTTACAGGCTGTATTATTTTTATTATTTACAGTATTTATTTTATTATTTTGCATTCAGTTTTATCCTTGACATTCAACTAGGGGCCTCTATATGGGATTGATTTCAAATTTATTTTTTTATTCTTTAAAAATGTTTTGCGTGTTTAGACTCATGATAGATTCATATACTTTTATGATGTAAGAACAAGCAGCATTTGTATAGGGAGCTGAGGCAGAGATCACTGAACACTGAATCTCTACTGATGGCTCAGCACATACAAAGGCTGATTTTTCTATTCGTTTACTCAGAAATTAACCTTGACATACGCTCAGCAGATTTCACATATCTAAACCCACCATGCAGTATTATAACAATAATTATACACAGGTAACTGACTAAAATTACATGAAACAAGTATCAAAATGCTGAGTTGGCCACTCTGGTATTCCTCTGTGGCCAATACAGGATACTGTATCTCAGTACTGAGTGAGGACGATTGTTGAGGACACAACTAACAAGACTCCCATACTGAAGAACACCCACCTGAGGTGAAATGGGTATGGAAGGCTGAAGAAAGGAAATGATCACATGGGACAACAGTCAGAAAAAGCACATACTCACAAAAATGAAGGCAAAAGCAAAGAGTTATAGTAAATCAGCTGAATGCAAACATTAGTCTAAGCCTTCAGAGGGTGGTTTTATCAAATAAACTCTGTAAAGAGCCTCACAGAGAGGTATGTTGTGGTTACACTGCATGGAAAATATACTACTGTGAATGAGCAGGTTCAAAGAACATAGGTATCATTTTCTGTGCAGTGCGGGAGACCACGCTGTCAGAAGTTTCACCCCTCAGCTAGACAAAGTCGACTGATTATTGAGTTTTTTTTTTTTTTTTTTTTTTTAGAAAAGTCCAAGGAACCTCAAAGCACGGCTAAAACCAAACAGGCCCTTAGATTCCTGAGTAAATTTCAACTCCAGTCATCACATTCATCTGGCAGTGCAGCATTTCCATCTTGAGAGGAGCAGGACAACTCCTTATTCAAAGGGCACGAGTGGACAAGTGATTTACTAAAAAGTCTGATAAACATGAAAACAGAATGGGAGTTCCGTTACAGACCACAGCGCTGGATAAAGCTTTATGGGTACTGGAGCAGTAACTGAGATGGTGTTAGCCAGCACAATCAACAAAACACCAAAAGATTCATCAGCAGTACATGTGCAAAGGTGTCTGGCCACTTCAGGAATAGCGGGTCTCATTCTTCCTTCCAAGGTCAATGTGTTTCTTTCTTATTTCATTCATTCATTCATTCATTCATTCATGGAATTAACCAGGTGGCCCATCAATCCTTTGCAGGGCACACACACTAATCACACCAATAGGGATTTTGGCAACTCCAATTAACCACTGAATGTTTTTGGACTATGGGGGAAACCAGGGAACCTAGAAAAAACCCTCGACACGAGGAGACCATGCAAATTCCACACATGCAGGTATAGGTGTGAGAGAACAGTGCTAACCACTGCACCGCCCTTAATTCATTTCAACCACAGAGATTTCTTTTTAAGCAACACTCAAAGAAATGAACCAACCTGCAGCGTGAAGAGCCTGAACTCGATCCAGGTATTCGTTCACCTTGTCCTGAATGTTCTCCAATTTAGACCCAGCCATGCCTGCGTAGATGAGAGCCTGGGCTGCCTCCTAAATAGAGAGCCAGTGTGGTTAGGAGCATATATAGTAACTGCAGTGTAGTTATGGTACACATCAAATCTGACGAACTCACTCAATGTTTACTTCACATTACGGCAGCTGCCATAAACTTGGTGACATACTCCGACGTCAACACCTCTTTGTATCACCTTGTTCCTCTCCACTACACCTTAATTCATGCCTTTGCAGGGAGCGGGCATGTGCACAACACAATTGTGGCAAAAGCGATGTACTGTAAATAAACAGGGAAAGCTTTTATGCTACATGTCTGACAGTGTGTAAATATGACCCATGTAACGAACCCACTTCGGCGACGGACCAATTGACTTCATCGGGGTGAAAAATAAATTATTTTCTGTAGAAACTGGGGAATGTCCGGCACAGCGTCAAAGGACAGTTTCGCAGATCCAAGGGTATGTGCCAGTACAGTTTGTGTAGGAAATGATGACAACCAGACCAGTACGCAGTGACTTATCGGTAACAATCGTCCAATAACTGCGACAGCCGTTAATAAATCGTTTTTTGTACCATAGGTATATCCCTTAACCTACTGTACATAAGACACTTACGAATTCTAGTTAAAATACACAGGAAAAAAAACTAGCCATGCGAAAGACTAGCTCCAAAAATTAAATGAGAATGAAGTTCTACCTTATAGTAGAAGACCGCCTCGTTGTGCTTCCCTTTCTGATCATACATAACAGCACATTTAGCGAATTTGATGGCATCGAGCTCCAGCGCCGAACAGTCCATGATTCCTGGCAACGATAAGAGGACAGGGCAATTATTAAGGTTTTTATCATTAATAAAATCCACGTCAGTTACATGTATATACTGTAAATATAGCCGGAGGTTATAAACGAGTGGAAGATGACATGTGAATAAAAGCGACAGATCATACAGCAAATGTTAAAAAAAACTGACTACCTTAAAAGTCCAACGCTGCAGCTCGTCTTGGAAGAACTCCGATGCTCTTTTTGGTATTAAGTGTCAATTAACAGCGGCGAAACGATCAGCTTCCAACACTCTTTACGCCAAAACTTTAACCACAACAGACCCCCCTTTTCTATTTCCGGGTCCAGAAGGAAGAAGTGTGTGAGCTGTCAAACTAAACTACGTACGTCACACACCCAGACTGGACCCGGATGTACAACGAGGAGGGAGGGGGCGAGGGGATGAGGATACGTCATAACTAGTCAGGGAACTCCTTGACTCATGACGTTGTAATCACGGTTCGGGGAAACCCCAACGTGGAGTCCATCTTTATTTTAGATTAAGATTAAGATTTATCGGTCCTTCACCTAACAAAAACACTGCGTATCCAGTACAGGGTGTGCTTGATGATCTGGATGTCAGAAACCATAGGACATAAGGATGGATTCCAGAGGTGTTATTTAATTTTAAATTGAACTGCTTGTTTTTCTAGTCTTGTGTTCTTTTGACGATATCACACATTTACGTATTTCTGGTAAAGCTAGTTATTTATTTCCGCGAATTTTAAACAATTACGTAGATGCTAACACTCAGCCTATGAAACAAAGGTATGACTTTGTGGAAAAGAGGAATAAAAAAAGAGATGTGGGTGGAATGTCAAAAAAAGAATGAATTCAGGTCAATAAGAGTATAACAGAGAGATGAAAAAGAAGGGATGAAGGAGGGTGAAATGGATGAAAGTTCGTTGAATACTTTTGAGCTGCACACCGGATGTCTTCAGTTGAAGATCGAATGGATGCAGTTTGAAAAATTTCACCATACAAATATATGGGGAAAATGTGGCAGATAGAGGGATGAAAAAGAGGGATGCAGGTAGAATATCAAAAAGAAAAACACATGCATTCTTCTCCTTAATGGGTGGAACGTATTAGCTGTGGAAGGGTGTGTGGCTGAGCGGGTTAGGCCTCTGTGCCTGTGATCAAACGGTCACTGTTTTGAATCCTGTTCTTAACTCAATAATCACATCTTTGCTGAGCCCCTCTGAAATGTTCCAAAAAGGACGTGTGAAAATAAGCATTCCAACGTAAATGAATCTCATGCAAAAGGCAAATAAAGCAGTTAGCTTAGCGAGCATGACATTATAAATGTATGATAATTGATGTGTCCACCTGAAGCTGTGAACCCCTGGCACTCACTCCCACTAGGACAAGAATGCACGTGGGGAAACACAAACACATTACCGTGCAAGTGCAGCTTCATGTATAAACATTGTCCATCCATCCATTTTCCAGTTGATTATCCTGGCATAGACCTGAGGCGCTTAAACATTCCTTATCAGTTTAACCATTGTTTAAATACAGTGAGGGTTGAAATCGCGTTGTATGGACACTAGATGGCAGCAATTCTGTCCTCATTAAGAACACAATGATTAATCTAAAACATATGAGCTCGCTCTTCTTATTGACTTTGACGTTAATGAATTCTGTGAAGATCTGCAGACACGTGCTGTACGAGCTTTCTGGCACTAACAGTGGGTTTAAATATCTACATTCACACTCGGCATTAAATATCAAGACAACATGATTATTTCTTAAAACATCAGAAGGGTGTCCAGATTATTGTCAAAGCCATTTTAGAATGCTATTAAAAAATAGAATGTAATTATAGAACTTAGAATAAGTTATTGAATAAGTTATTTTCACAGCTTTTTTTGTTCTACTGCCAAGTATGGATGGATGGTAAGATCTTTTTATTTCAATACTTTTCAGGACAAATGGTAGATTATTTAAATGAAATGCAATGACACCAATACTGTATACAGTATTGTGATATTCTCTGTATATTACATAAATGGCATGTCATCCTATTTTTTTAATAATTGCATATTCCTGCAAAACCATTTGAATAAAAATAAAGAGACAAAAACTGCTAAAAGTACAAAAGTGAACTCAGTAAAAGAAAAGTCAATAGATTAAAAACGAATAATTTCCATGGTAACATAGGATCACATTTTGCTTTCTGATCTCCTCTCCAGTAGTTAGCAGATGTTGACTCAGTACTTAGCAGTGACATACTGTAGATCTATGTAAATATATTAGCTTTTCTAGACAATAAATGCTCAAAAGGTTGTTTGTTGTCAGTAAAATAACAATGGGTGGGGCTTCACAACCTGTGTGATATTTCTTCAGTTTCACAAACAGGCTTACAGCTTCAAAAGGTACAAATGAAGGCATTACAGTAGATGACCTTCCGAAGGAACATATTAAGCATTAAAACACTAAGAGGCTATTCCTCGCGTTCTTGCAGTTTCCCTTCTATCATTTTCTGTTTGTTTTGGTATAGCTTAGGCAGAGCTTCCCTTATTTTTGCACCTGGATATTTGCTGAAACATATCAGAAATAAGAGTCTTCTGTGATTAAATGTGCTTTCTTTATTACCATAAAAGCCAACGGCTGACCCGAGCAGCTCATGTCCAAAGTTGGACCAAGACCTAGTCTGCAAACAAACTCCATCATTTCCCAGAAACAGAGATCATTTGTTTACCAGCCATCTGCCCATCCATCCATCCATCCATCCATCCATCCATCAATCCATTTTCTGCACCTGCTTGT